AAGCGGGCAGCCCACTGGGATCACCCACCCCGACGGTGCCGAGCGGGTCCCCGTCAGCGCTGGCACAGTTCGGAGCAGGCAGCATGGTTGCTGGCCCCGTCACCAGTAGGACCAGCCGGGAGGGCAGAGGAAGCAGCAGGATGCTGCCATGAAGCTGAGCGGGACTCAGCTGTTGGAGAGAGGCCGGGTTTTTCTCATTTATAAATGAAACAAGCACTGCAACGTGCTTCCGAAACCCTGACCCCTTTTTGCTGGCTTGGCCTCCAGATTTCACGTTAAATCCAGCCTCCAGCTGCATCAGTGCTGTTATCACTCCAGGATTACAGTGCCACGCTGCTGCCAGGGACCAGCCTGCTCCAATTACTGGGGTGTCTCCGAACCACGCGCTCCAGGGTGGGTTTTTTTGCCCAAGACAGCCAAAAAGCAAAAGCCACCGAGAAGGCGCAGTTGGCACGCACGGAGGAGGATGGGTGGCTGGCTGGTGGGACGCAGCGGCTAAGCGAGCCCGGTGCTGGGAGGCAGCCCCGCAGCATCGCCGGCGTCTGCCCTTGTTTTATTTTTTAAGAAAAACCCCCAACATGATTTAAGGGCATCTGATGATGGAAGCATCTGGCTGCAGGCTGCCAGCGGCTGCCAGACAAGCCTCCTCTCTCCTGAGCTGCGCAAGGGTGGCCGGTGCCCAGTGGCAGCCACTCGCTCGCCCACGCACGCTGCCAGTGCCGGGCTGCGGCGCCGACACGGTTAAGGCACCGGCAGGATCGGGGAGCCAGGATGCACGCCACGGCTGCACGCCACCGGCGGAGCCAAACCTGCCGAGTCAGGATGTGAGAGGCTCTGCAGCATCCCTGGGTGCTGCTGCATCCCGGGGCGCGGAGGGCTCGGCTTTGCCTCCGCCGCTGGATGCCTTTTCCCAGGGACGGAGCAGGAATGGGGTAGGAACTGGCACTCGCTGTCTTTGCCTCCCGGCTGCCGCAGCTGCTCGGCACCAGCACTGCTTCCCGAAACCCACAGAGCCTCTGGCTCTGCCGGCAGCTGGGTTTTTCATTTTTTTTTTTTGCCGCCTGACCGCACATCTCCATTAGAGCACCGGAGCCAGGTAGGTGCGGTGCTGGGGTGGTCGGTGCTGCTGATGGGTCCGCGGTGCCGTGGTGGTGGCTCGGCCATGCCTGGCTGGCAGCCCCAGAGCAGCAGGCAGCCTGCTCACTGGGGAGGCTGCCCACCGGGGAGCTGCGGGTGCTCGCTGGCCTGACAGACCCCCGTTACTCTTGTGCTGGCATACATGACGGCAAAGCAGGAATAACCCCCCCGTCGGATGTGTCGCGTGTGGTTTTGGGCTGTGTCATTGGCTCGGGGAGCCGAGCAGCAGTGGGTGCCTGAGCTCTGGCGCGCACAGCGCGATCACGGGCATCCTCACGTGTCGCAGCTGAATCCCCAATGCCTGCCGTGTGCGTTAGTGACCGGCTTGTACCCGCGCCTGAGCCGCGATGGCAGGCTGGGGGAACACTGCTGGCAGAGGGAAGGGGCAGGGCTGCTGCTCTGCGGTTCCCTGCAGCGCCGGTGCTGCAGGCGGGGGGCCGGGAGCAGGCGGGGGGTGCACGGGACCCAGTGCAGAGCATGAACAGAGAGGGGACAGCAGGAGGTGCCAGGTCAAAAGCCATTCGCCAGCCAGAGCAGGGCAGCGTGAGTAATTGTGCTAAAGTCACCTTTCCCATGGTGTGTTGGGGGGGAGGGCAGCATTTGCTGCAGGTGCTGTTTGCAAACCTCGTAAAAAGGGGGGACAAATGCCGGGCCGGGTACCCGGAGCGGGGAGCTGCTCGGTGCCGTCTCCCCTGCATCCCTTGCCTGAGCAGCTGGGAAGGGTGCTGGGGTGCCCAGGGCAGGGGTCCCGCAGCTCCCCCCACCCCGATGCCTCATCCTCGGAGGCTCAGGCTCATCGGTAGGTGCGGAGGTTTCACCCCTATATTCAAATTAATACCACGTGCAGTTTCACCTCCTTTTGCTCCAACCACAGCGTGTTTGGGAGGCAGTGGTCCGCAGACCATCCCCCAGGCTGGCCCAGCAGAACTCTGGCTCCCAGGGGCTTCCTGGCAATAAATCCTCCCCACAACCCAGCACCCACATTCTCCCGCCCCATCGTGCTGGCCGGGGATGGGGATGGAGCCGGGTGGGACCACAAGCTTTCGGGGCACCCTTGTGCCCAGGTGCCAGGCACGTCCTGCAGAAGAAAACATTTTTCTGCCCTGCAGAAACTCCTGTGGTTGCAGACTCGCGGCTGAGTTTTGCCGTGAGGAAGCTGAAGGTGTGGGAATGGTTTTGGAAAAGCACCAAACTGCTGGAATGGAGGGGACTAGGCTTTTGGCAGCACCTTTGGGTCAGGGGACCCCAAGGGGCAGGTTGGCCCCAGCGGCTGGGGTGCTCTGGCTCCTCGGGGTGCGGAGCCCTGCCCAGTGTGCCAGTGCTCTGGCGGTGCTTCCCAGCAAAGTTCCTCCAGTGCTGCTAGAGACTTGCCGGCCACCGCGCTCGGTCCCCTCAGCATTACCACAAGGTAATGGATAAGGGGTGTCGGGTCCTGCTGAAAATTGTGAAGAGCTGAGCTCATCGCAGGGCTGAGCTCATCACACCACAGATCCCCAGGATGCATAAACAGAGCCAGTCCTAAGCCCTGCACTGAGTTTGAGTCTTGGTTTGTGGCAGGGCAAGCAAGCAAGCCGCACGGCTGCCCCCACTGCGGCTGGGGCAGGGGGGGTCCAGCCATCCCCCAGCTCGCGTCACCTTCATTACACTGCTGCTAATTAAGTGATGCTGAGCGGGCAGGAAGCAGCTTGCAGGGGTGTGCGAGACGGTGCCAGGGCTGGTGGCTGCTGCTGAACCTGTGTTGTTGCAGGCGAGGGCCGCGAGGAGCCATGAAGGTGACACAAGCAGCCCCCGGGAGAAGCCAAGGGGGTCATGATGGCTTTGGGAGCTCAGCAGGGTCCTGCTCAGGGCACACAGTGCAACAGTGCGAGGCCCTGGGGGGCCAGCTCCCTCCTGCCCTCTCAAAAATAAACCTGGCTTTATTGAGCCTGCCTGCTCTCTAGCCCTGGGGTGGCTGCAGCCAAAGGGAGCTGTGTTTCTGCAGTGCTGAGGGGAGGAGGGAGATGGGGCTCTGCACCAGGGGCCACAGAAGGGCCAGGGGCTGCAGCGGGGCCGGGGGCTGCAGCGGGGCTGGGGGCTGCGGTGGGCAGGCAGGCGGCTCCGCGGGGATGGGCTCGGCTGCTGCAGCCGCTGCCATTGGGCTGCGTGGGCTGCAGGGGCTGCGCCGGCATGCAGGCACGGCGGGCCAGGATGCCGGAGGGATGCAGGATGCGGGAGGGATGCGGGAGGCAGGCACACTGGGCCAGGGAGAGGGAAGGATGCAGGATGCAGGCACACAGTGCTGGGATGCGGGAGAGATGCAGGGTGCGGGCATGCCCTGCTGCGATGCAGGCAGGATGCAATCTGCAAGCATGCCATGCTGGGATACAGGAGGGATGCAGGATGCAGGCATGATGTGCCAGGATGCAGGCAGGATGTGTGCCAGGACAAGAGCACTCTGTGCAAGGCTATACTCCCGCTGTGCCCAGGGCAGGCAGGGAAGGAGCCCGGAGTTCTCTCAGTCTCCAATCATGGGGAAAAAACAGCTCGTGACCTGCGGCATAAAGATGGCATTTCACAGGCATAAAGAAAGATGGGTTCAATTTTAAAATTAGCCCCAGTTTTGCAGGGAAATGCTTTGGGTCTCTGTGACACTGGAAGCTGCTGGTGGTGTTGTGGGGTAGGGAGCGGGAGCAGGACCACAGCTCCCTAGGGAGTCATGCCAGATGCCCCCCGGCATGGGGATGGGGATGGGGACAGGGAGGATCAGGGGTGCCTGGGGGCGAGCCCCCCTTTCCCTCAGAGCTCCTGCACCCCCACTCACACAATCACATTGCAGAAAAAGTTGAGCTGTTTTCCCTTCCTTGGCTTGTCCCTTGCAGAGGGACCCTCTAGGGGCTGCTTTAGTATTAAACACCAGCAAAATGTCTAATTTTTCATGCCCGCGTTTCTTCACCATTCCTTGAGGCGTCCTAAGACCTCCACGGCATTTGTCGGTGCCTTGCTGCCGCAGCTGGGTTGCCCCACAGCTTGCCCTGCTCACCTCCCCTGGGCAGCGAGGCTGGCAGCAAGCAGACCCGCTCTGCCCGCCCCGGGAGCCCCAGAAGTTGGGGGAGAGCAGCCAGGCTGGGGAGTCAGCGGCACAGGGCAGGGGTGGGATGGGTTTGGGAGTGGTGGTGGGTTAGGGCGGGGGTCTGGGGGTGGCAGAGCTGCCCAGCCACTGCCCGCGCTGCTGCCCACGCCGCATGCCCTTCCGGCTCATGAGCTTCTGCAACAGGAAGCACCATCATGCGCGTGCCCCAGAAACCCCCATTTCTTCCTCTTTTTCTCTTCCCCTGTGGCAGGGGTGAGGTGGCGAGTGGCTCCGGGGAGCCCAGGCTGGCTCCATGTATCCCGAATCCACCACTGACTCCCCGGCGCGACTCTCGCTGCGGCAGACGGGCTCCCCAGGGATGATTTACAGGTAAGGGTGTGGGGCGGCGCTGGGGGGGTTACTCTGCAGGGCTTCAAACCTGGGGCCACGGCACCCCAAAACCACCCCGGCACGCTTGGTGCAAAAACTTTCAGGACTGAAAATACCCACATGGCAGCAGCAGCATTTCAGGGCGCTGATGCCTGTTAGGAGAAGAGTGGGTACTCATGGGGAGCGTGCCAGTGCCCGCTGCACAGTGCTCCCCCGTGGCACGGTGCGGCGGGCATCACCGGCCCTTCCCACAGCCGCCAGCTCTGCCGCTTGCTCCCGCTCCGCCTTTCTAACGGGGTTTGTGGCATCTTTCTTCTCTCTCCCCTTTGCTGTCGGAAGCGCGAGGTACGGGAGCCCCAAGCGCCAGCTCCAGTTCTACAGGTAACCCAGCCCTTCCCCCTCCCCAAAATCCTCCTTCCCAGCGAGCAGACACGGCCGAAGCCCCGGCAACCCCGGGGGGATGCTGGCGCAGGTGCTGCTGGCACAGCACTGCCCTGCCCGCTGCCCAGGGGTCCCTCCGTGCTGGGTGGGCATCACCGGTGCATCACCGCGTCTTCGCCTGCTCGTGGGTTTGGCGGTGCGACGTGGGGACCCCACCAGTGCGGCTGGGTAGGTGGGATGATCCTCACCGGGGTCCCCAAGCAGCGGAGCGTGGCCGCAGGGCTACTGGGGGGGCATCCACCGCAGGGCTGCGGGGCTCGGCTTGGTGGGGACCATCCCGCACCGATGCTGCACCGGGAAGAGCCCGCTGGCTTCTCCCAAGGGCATCTCCAGGAACGCAGCCAGCCACTCCCCTGCTCCTTCCATTAACAGAAGCGTCATTAAGTGGTACAGAAGGCAATGCTTTACTCCTTCGCCGCCCCTCCCACCAGCCCCTTTTACCATCTGAAGTGAAGGTGGCACTTTGCCCCACACACTGTGCCAGCAGCTGCTTTGGTGCTCCCAGGGCTGAGCAGCCCTGTGGTGCTGGACTGGGGTCTGACCCAGCTGCGATGGGGCTGGAGACGAGGGGCTGCCCCCCAAGGGAGCCCTGGCCTCCCCGCTCCATCGCTGCATGTGGCAGGAGGAGAGGCTGGCCAGCATGGGGTCGGCTCGGTGGCACTGTGAGCGTGCCTGTCCCGGCAATGTGGCACCGCCGGCACTGCCGAGCCCGAGCCACAGGTGGGTTTTGGCTGCCAGCACGGCCAGGCACAGCCACGCACCCGAGCCATGGGGCACGTCGGGTGTGAGCGGCTCCCGGGGCCGGCAGGCAGGAGCCAGCTCACCCCTCACTGCCGCCCGTCTCTGTCACCCAGCCCCGTTTCAGGGCTCCTGCCCCAAGAGTCCGTGTTTCAGTCCTGCCACAGCCGAGCTCCGACCCTGCCGCCGTGGGGTCCGCAGGAGGGCTGCGTCCGCCTTGGGGGACCAGCTGTGCTCCTCAGTGGCCCCCGATTGTCCCGCTGGTGGTGCGGGACCTGTCACCACAGGGCGAGGGTCGGCCACGGGCGGAGACAGCGATGCCAGCGTTGCTAAAGCAGCGGCGCATCCCTGGGCTTTTAGCAAAGCGGCCATGAATAATTTAGATCCCCTTCACAAGGAAGAAAATCCCCTAATAGGGCTAATGGAGCGCGGCGAGAAAGCTGGGCTCTGGGGGGGCCCGTCGCAGCCGCCAATTGCTTTGGACGCCAGACACCGACACTCCCCTAATGCAAAAAACCCGGCAGCCTCACATCTCTTATAGCTGCCCCAGGGCAGCCCGGCTGCCCAGAGCTTTGGTGCTGGTGAGCAGCATCCCCGGCGCACGGGTGAGTCGGGGCCGGCAGCGCGGGCGGCGAGCGGGGACGGGCGCAGCTGGCGGTGCAGCCCGCGGCGGGCGGCAGGGAGGATTTGCTGTGCGGGGTGACTCAGGATTCGGTGGCTTGGGGAGGTTTTCGTTTTGGGGTTTGGGGTCTTTTTGGTTTTAGGCAGGCTGTCACCAACAAGTTCTCAGCTTGGCAAGCCGGGCTGAAAAGACGCCTTTCCAAGCAGCTACCCTGCGCACCCGACTGTCACCCACTTGTTGTGCCCCTGACGCACGCTAACAGTCCGCTGTTATCCCGCAGAGCCTGTGTCCTGTCCCCATCCCCACTCCTCCCCACAAAACAGCCTCTCCCGCTTGGGCACGGTGCTGCTTGGGCTCCGGCAGCTCCTGCAGACCCTGCTGCTTCTCATCCCTCTGCTAACAAACGGCCCTCAGACAAAGCCGCTGCCTCCACGCTCTCCCTGCCGCCCCGTAACATTGCTCAGCCAAAAACTAGAGAGGTGTCAGAGTGGGGCGGCTGGTGGATTCCCACCCTGTTCCTCAAAGCAGACCAGACCAGACGCCCCAGCCGCACTTGCTGCAATAATTTCATTGCAGCACGGTGAGGTCGTAGAGCAGCGGCACAGCTGGCTCGGACTTTTCCCTGCCATTGTTGGTTGAGGGGATCCCAGCGGGGGCAAGGGGATCCCACCGGGGCTGGGTGCTGCACCCGTGCCCAGCAGGAACCACCAGCTCTGCCCTAATTAAAACCACCAGCTGTGGAGAAGGGCTGGTACCAATGGTGACAGCTCCAGACTTCAGCTTTGAGGCACGGCAGGAAGAGGAGGCTGGTGGCCAGGGTTCAGTTTAGCTTTGCTGCAGGAGAGGGGTCCGCTTTGCCCATCTCTCTGTGTTCCCAAGCCCTTGCTGCGGAGCAGGAGGAGTGTGGGAGGGTCTCCAGCAGCGTTGGGTATCGCAGGAGCTCCCCAGGGTTTCGGTCACCCCTTGCCAGCTGCTGCTCTGTATCTTCTGGGTTTTCTTTTTCCTTGACGTCACACCTCAGTGGGAAAGTGCACTTTGGTTCTGGCTCCTGCTACCGTAAATGTGAGCTTCACAGGGAAACAAAAAACCACCGGTGGGAGCCTGGCTGGAGCCTGATGCCAGTGCAGCTCCAGCACGGTGCACTCCCAGCTCCAGCGGCCACTTCGGCACCAGCACCGTGGTTTTGGCCTCGGTTCCTGCTCCTTCTCTCAGGCACTGAGTGCAAGGGACGCTGCAGAGCACAGCAGGGAAATCGATGCCGGTGCCACAGCCGGTGAGATCTCAGCCATAGAGGCGGCGAGCACCTCCAGCGCGTAAGGAGCCCGTTCTGCGGCAGGCTATTTTCGGCAGCCTGTACCGGCTGGGAGGTCGCTGCCGCGGCTGCGGGGAAGGTGTTGGCTGGCAACACAGGTTGCGGCAGCTTGCCGCAGGCACGGCAGCCACCGGCAAGCACCCAGCACCCACAGCCCCTCTGCAGATGCCCACCCCCCCCAGGGGACGCCCACAGGGGCACCTTTCCCGTCCTGACCTCTTCCACTCGCTGGCACACGGTGCCGGATTCTCACCGGCGGCACTTGTGCCACCACTCACCGGGTCCCACCAGCTCCCACAGCCCTCGCAGGGATGCAAACCAGTGGCAGCCCAGCTGGTGCGAGCTGGGAGGCAGCGGGGCCAGGGCTTGTGCCAGGCTGCAGCAGCTCGCCGGGCTCGGGGTGGCCGTGGCGGGCACCCGCTGCAGCCCCAGCTCCCGTCGCCGCCCAGCCACAGGCAGCGCCGCATCCTGCCCTGCCGCGCTGCCGCCCTCTCCCTCCCCTCACTCTCCGGCTCCCCCGCCAAGGCTTTGCTCCGCTGAAGTGACTGGCTTTGCCAGGGTCCCTGCTCTCCTCACGCCACAGACCCACCGCAGGTCCTTGCAAGGGTGGGTGCCACCACTCCGGCATCACGGCGCGGGCACAGCTCTGCCCCGTGCCGTGACGGAGCCCGGTGTTGCAGCGGGGCGCTTTCCCAGCTCTCTCCGTAGCGTCGCTGAGGGGTCGGCAGCGGGGCTGGCCCGCAGGGCCCACTCTGGGGCGGCGGGATGCTCTCCATGACGTACAGCGAGAGCCTGCGCAGCGTGGCCAGCCGGCACCCCCCAGAGTGGGGGCTGCCGCCAGCCCCCCGGCCAGCGGACGGGCTGGAGCTGCGGCGGCTGCGGGACGTGCGGGCAGCGGCGCGGGCGAAGACGCTGGAGGAGTTCCTGCGGATGCACGGGCTCTCCATGGCCGACAGCACCGCCCGCGCCACTGGCATGAAGTACAGGTGAGGCAGCGCCGGCGGCGGACGCGGCGAGGGCTGAGCACACCCAGCCCGAGATGCGGGGACGGAGCGGGGGATGCTGCTTAGCGCTGGTTTTACACCGCATTGGGGAAAAGCCCGGCTTTCACCGATTTCCCTGTGCCGCGCCAAGGTCGGGAGGAGCTGGCGCCCTCGGCACAGTCTCGCGCGGGGCGGGCAGGAGAGGCTGCAGCAGGTCAGTGCCGTTACCTCTTGCTTGCTCCATGATCTTTGATCTCCTCGCTTGATTTTTCCCTTTTGTTGTTGGGAAGTTGCAAGTGCAAACGCACTCGGTGCTTTTAAAGATCAGGCGGTTGGAGCAACCAGCTACAGAGGTGCTTTATCCGTCTGACGAGCATTCATTACAGAGCTCCATTAATTTTGCATGTGTGTCCCGGGCACGGCGCGAGGCATCTCTGGATTTCAGCTGACTTTTGTCCTTGTTACCAGCCCGTGCCAGGGAGGACGCGCCAGGAAGCTGGGGCCGTCGGCCGCGGCTCCTCTGAGGGCGCATGGCTGGTTTTCCCAGCACATCCCTTCCTGCTCTCCCTCAGCATCACTGGTGGGGCGATGGGGTGCAGGGCCAGGCACCCCCAGTAATCCAGCTGGGGCTTGGACCAGGGGCACTGGGGTTGGGGACGGTGGCTGGTGCCCCCTGTGAAGCCCCAGGGACCGGTGGCTCTGCCGGCTCCTGCCGCGCCGTGCCACACCATGCCGCGCCATGGGTCAGGTTCCCCTCTGCTCACAATGTCAGAGATAACATTTACACCATGGCAAGAGCCCATCTAATATTCATGGGGCAGTTATTTATTGATGGGGAGAGGCTGGCACAGTCACTCCCAAGGATGCTCCTTTGGGCATGTGCCCACTGCCCCCAAAATTTCTGGGGTTCCTTCTCCACCGGGGAGCTGCTGATTGGGGCCAGGTCCCCCTCGCCCCGGTGCCAGAGCCAGAGCCAGCGGGATTACTAGGCTAAGGAGCTTTGTGGCAGAGGGAAGCAGAGGAGATTACAAGATTTCTCATTAGGTCAGGGCTGGACGTGCGTGATTTCCCCTGCAAGCCAAGCCCCAGCCCCACTCCTTCCTTCTTATGGAGGGGGGGCACGGTGGGTGCCAGCAGCTGGCACGCAGCCCGGGGCGCAAGAACGGTGCTGTGCCATGGCCGGCTTGCACCCCTCCTTCAGCAGGAGATTCTGGGCTGGCGTTTGCCTCAATCTGCTTAGCTCGCGCTGGGCAAAATTTGGGGGACTCACTGCTGGGGCCACAGCCCTGATGGGAGCAACCGGTCCAGCTTCGGCAAATCTCCAGGCTCTGCCCCCAGGGTGGCCGGCGGCATCACTGATCCCCAGGGCTGTGTATTTGGTGATGTGCAGGTGCTCCTGCCGGGAGATTTTTGTTTGGGACTTGCGTCCGCCTGAGAGGAGGGATGCTGTGCTGCCGCGGCATGGCTGGAGGGAGCCAAGCGGCCCCTTTGCCCCCGTGGCCTCAGCCCCCCCCCCCCCCCCCCCCCCCCCCCCGCGCCCCAAACCGGGGAAGCTCAGGAAGCATTGCCTGCAGGGGATGCCTCGGGGGGTGCCTCCGGGGGGGGGGGACACAGCTGCCTTGGCTCTCCCCTTCCTGCCCCCCACCTGCCCCAGCGCCGCTTGCTCGCTTCCTGAGCTCATCAAATATTGAGGGCAGGAGGGCTGACGGGAGCCGGCTCCGTGCCCGCCGCCTTGCAGCCCCCCGCCGTCACGTTGGCGGAGCAGCGGTGCGCGGGCGTGCGGGAGGAGCTCCCCGCCTCGCCCGGGGCGCCGGCTAAATTTAGGCAGCTGGCGCGGCTGCCCGCCGGAGCAGCATGCAGGTCTCCTTTGTGTGCTCCGAGCACAGCATCAAGAGCCGGAGCGCCGAGGACCGGCTGAACCGACAGAATGCCGGCAGCCCCAGCCTCGGCACCCGCGGCAAGTTCCGGGCAGTGGCCATGGTGGCCCGCAGCCTGGGGCAGCTCTCGGTGCAGAACGCCCCCTCCTCCAGCGAGTCCAGCATCAAGCAGCCGGGGATGAAATACCGGTAGGAGATGGGCAGATCCGCTGCCTGCTCGGCTGCTTCCTCTGTTCCTCTCTGGGCTCCGGGCAGCGGGGGGGGCTGGGGGGGCCCGGGTGTGCTGCACTCCCCTGATCCCTGGCTCGCGTCCTGCTCCGTAGGTTTCTCGGTGCTAAAAGTGCTGACCGTGTGCCCCCGTCGCTGTCCTCACTGTTTGCTCCTGTCCCCTCTCGGGGCGGCTTTGATCCAGCCTCGCGTAAAACCAGCAGGATGAGAGGGGGAGAAGGACCCTAAAATTTGGGGTAGGATTAGTAGCATCCCCGGCACCTGCCAAGGTGGGCAGGCTGCCGAGCCGGGGGGATCTGAGAGTCGCGATGCGCGTTAATCTGGGGGGCTGCCATGGCATCGTTACGGTGCTGCCGGAGCCTCGCCGCCCTGCACGGTGTGCACGGAGCTGTAAGCCAGGAGTCGGCCCTCAACTGCCCGCTGTGGGTCTGGAAACGAAGGGTGGCACGTTGTGCCCCCCCCAGCCAGCACCCACGGGGGCAACGCGCTCCACGCCTCTGGCACTGGAGCAGAGCACTGGTGGCTCCCCCCAGGGATGAGCCCGGCGCTGCGCATGAGTCCAGCCGTCACCCACCATCATCGTCGAAATCAGCCCAGTCCCCTCGCCCAAGCGCCCTGGGGGGGTCAGGGTGGCCCCCTCCGGCTCTCAACCACTGATCCCTTGTGGCGGCAGTGCTGGGGCCACACGCAGTGACATCCCCTGGGCTTGGCACTCGCGGTCACATCCCCATCCAGAGGAGGAGCGCACCAGGGGCCAACCTCTCCCAGGCTGACCGGCTCAGGGGATCCCCACCAAACACTGCGGGGGGGGCTGGTGGCACAGGGGGATGCTCTGTGCAAAGGGACGGGAAGGCTGTGGCGCTGCGGGGGGATGCTTGGCCTCCCCCAGTATCTGCCGGTGTCACCCTTGGGTGACCGGGCAAAGATGTGTTTGGGCAGGAGAGCCAAGAGCGGCGATGCGTTGCCATGACCCCCACCCAGCGGTGCCCCCGCAGCCTGGAATGGCCAGCACAGGGCTGGTGCCCCCCCCTCCACTGTGACCACCCCCCCATGTCAGGGGCTTGAGCCACCGCTGCCCCATGGCCTCTCACCGCCACGAAACGCTCTAAAAATAACGCGGGGTTGGGGGGAGCGCCCACACCTCCAGATGTTGGGCAATAACGCGGTGGTGCGGAAGGGAGATGCCCCGACACGGCTCAGCCCACGATTCCCCGCTGCCGCTGGACCGCGGCCGCTCCCTGCGCAGCTCCTGGTGCCCGTGCCGGCGATGCCGGCGATGCCGGCGGTGGTGGTGCCTCCCGGTTGCTACGCGACACCCGCGCGGGCGAGCTGCCGCGGCTCACCTACACTTTATTTATTTTAACGCTCGTTCCTCGAGCCTTTGTCATTTTTAACGAGGAGCTGGCTCTCCATCACCGCGGCGAAGGCGTCTGCCAGCCCGGCCCCCTTCCCAAAAGCTCTTCTCTGGCTCCTGGTGCCAGCCAAATTTTCAGGGGTGCTCCATTTCTCCAGGACACCACTCTGCTCCTGAGCACCCTCTCCCCATGCAAGCCCTGTGCTCCCCCACGCCACGCTGCAGAGGATGGGCACAGCTCGTGTCACGTGTGGGATGCTCCAGGCCTGACTGCTGGGCTGCCATTGCCCCCTGCCCCTGGCCTGTCCCCCCGCGCCGGCGGCACTGTCGGAGGAGCCGGACACGCCGGCCTCGCCACAGGGAGCCGTTTTATTGAGGTCACCGCCCACTGCCACTCTCAATTACCCTGGGGGGCACGGCGATTATTTCGTGTGCAAGGAACAGCATCGCCGCACCAGGGCTGGCCATGCTGCCGGTGAGCCATGGCGTGCCTGGCCTGGGATGGCTTTTTAATCAGTCATGGGGGGACCCTCGCTGCGGGACCATCTGAGGCAGGATGGGGACGGGGACCGGGGATGGGGACAGGGACCAGGGATCGCCACCTCACCTCTCAGCCCACGCAGACGGTGCGCTCGGTGACATGCGGGTGCATGCAACGGCGTCTTGGAGCTTTCTGGCAGCTTTCCTAACGGGTCTGTGTCTTCCAGGAACCTCGGGAAGTCCGGGCTGCGCGTGTCCTGCCTGGGCCTGGGTAAGTGCCAGGGTTTGCCGCGGTCCCTCAGCAGCTCCTCCGTCCCGTGGCTGCTGCTGGTGCTCCCTGGCCAGGCCAGCGTGCGCTTGCTCCAGCGAGGCTTTGCCAAGGGAAGGAAAGGGTTTTCCCGTGGCCTGGTGGTGGCTTTGAGACATGGCCCAGAATTTGTCAAATTATTTTCTCGTCTTCTCTTCCAACGTGATAGGAAGAGACTGGGCTGTGCTGGGAGCACCGTGCTGCACGCAGCAGGGCCAACCGCGGCCACTGTGTGCCAGGGCTGTGCCAGGGGAGCCGGGGTGGGTGGCCAGGGGCTCAGGGCAGCAGCGTTCAGTGCTCACTGCGCTCACCGTGCATGTACTCTCTCCTCTGCAGGGACATGGGTGACTTTTGGAGGTCAAATCACAGACGAGGTAAGGATCGTGCCCCGAGCGAAGCAGGGAAGGGATGGGGCCAGCGAAGCCACAGGCGCTGGGCTTGGAGCACACGGTGTGCCGGAGCTCACCTCCACGCTCCGGCTCTCGGCCTCCCCCAGCACTGACCCTCCCTGCTCTCCCCTCGTAGATGGCGGAGCAGCTGATGACTTTAGCCTACGACAACGGCATTAATCTCTTCGACACAGCAGAAGTCTACGCCGCCGGCAAGTAGGTACTCTGCTTCGGCAGCGGCACAAGGGGCCTCACCGCGCGCCCCAGCCCCGCTGAGCTGCAGCAGTGCTGGGAGTCTCCCGGGTTTGCTGACTGCAGAGCAGCTGGGGGACAGAGCAGGGAGCGCTTGCTCACACGGGGTGGTGGCTCGCGCAGTCCCGTGCTGCCTGCGGCACACGCGTGTAGCTGTGCACCCTCCCCGGCACGGCGAGCAGCGGCTGCACCCGGGGCACGGTGACCCAGAGGCAACGCAGCGTGCCCACACGCCTGCTTAAAAATAGCAAGCTCCCGCGTCGGCGGCTGATGTCCCCTTCCCTTGTAGGGCCGAGGTGGTGCTGGGGAACATCATCAAGAAGAAAGGGTGGAGGTAAGCCGGGCTTCATCCCTGCGTGGCAAATCTGGTCACCACGGTGCCAACGGGCTGGGGCAGCCCCAGGCGTGGCTGCATGTGGGGCTTTGCAGGTGCCACCACCAGTGACTCTCCGCTTCTCCCTGCAGACGGTCCAGCCTGGTGATCACCACCAAAATCTTCTGGGGAGGAAAGTAGGTAGCGCACCCGCCCCGTGGCAGAGCGGCCGGAGCACACCGGGCTCTCATCCACCTTTCCTTTTCCAGGGCCGAGACGGAGAGGGGCCTGTCCCGAAAGCACATCATAGAAGGTAGGGGTGCTCGCTGGGTGCTGCCGGGCTCGGCGCCAGGCTGTGCCTGCACCGGCTGCCTCACCGGCTGGCGGCACAAAGCCCGGCAGCGCCTGACGGTCCCGGCGCTGCGGCAGGTCTGAAGGCGTCGCTGGAGCGGCTGCAGCTGGACTACGTGGACGTGGTGTTCGCCAACCGGCCCGACCCCAACACGCCGATGGAAGGTGGGTGCCGCGCACCGTGCCGCGCTCCTCCCCGCCGCCTTTCGTTGCTGTCACAGTTGGTGTGTGCCAGGCTTTTATCTAAAGGGCGTTTTCCCTTCCCGAGCAGAAACCGTGCCTCCGCCGCCGCAGTTAAGCCTCTGCCAGGCACCGGGACCTGCCTCGGGCCGCGGCAGGGGCAGGTTGGGGGCGCGGCGGTGGGTCACTGCCCCTGTCCCAGCAAGCCACTTGCTCTGCTCCGCCAGCAGCAGGCGACTCCTCTCTCTAAATCTCTCTTTTATCACCAGGGGACCCATTTAGTTCCTCCAAGTCCCGGACTTTCATCGTAGAAGGTACAACCTGCCCGCACTCTGCCCGCACCCCAGCGGCACCTCCTGGGGCAGAACCCCCACTGCCCTGTGATTTCCGTCCCTCTCCCCCCGCCCCGAGCAAACCCCGCCATAGATGGCACAGGCAGCGGCAGCACAACAAAAACACTCCCCTGCCCCTTCATCTTGCGGTTAAAGGGGAAAAAAGCAAAGAGGCTGCCCAGCCTCCTTGCCACGGGGTGCCTGTTGCAGCCGTGCCAGGGACCGCAGCAGGGTCCCTGCTCGCCGGGGCGTGCGCTCCAGTGCCGGCCCGGTGAGCCTCGTGCCCATCGCTCTCCCCGCTGCCCGCCTTTGGCTGCAGGAGCGCGCCTTGGCTTCGCCCCGGCCTGCATGGCTCGGAGGCAGCCCCCCTAGAGACCCCCCGCGCCCCTCGCATGGGGTCGGGGGTTCCCTCCCTCCCCTGGATCTCGGTGCACGGGCGATGCTTCAGGTCCCTCCCCTCGCAGCGGTGCCAAGCGCGGTGCCCGTGCTGGTACCCCACGGGGCGTAAGGCCACTGCCAGGAGCCTCAGGCTGCTCCGTGCCAGCAGAGCGCCGGCACCACTGTGACACATCAGGGTCCGCCGTGGTCCCCGGCGCATCCCGAGCGGCTGCTCCCCCTGGTCCCCATCCTGCTCCTCTGACAGCACCCTCCGGACACAACCCGCCTCCCGCTTCGGTGCCGCGGAGCGGGATGCTCGCCAGCCGTCGGCGCGGCGCGAGCCCCCTCCTGCCGGCGCAGCGCCCCGCTAACCCCCGCCTGCCGCTGTCCCCTTCCCTCCCGACAGAGACGGTGCGAGCCATGACCCACGTCATCAACCAGGGGATGGCCATGTACTGGGGGACCTCACGCTGGAGCTCCATGGAGATCATGGTAGGGGCCCGGGGGGGCGCCGGGGGCGGCCGTGGAGGAGCAGCCCCGGTGCTGCCGGTGACGCTGATTTATTGAGACAGCGGCTGTCAGGAGCCCAGTGCTTGCAGATGCACTTGAGCCTTAATTATTTTTTGGGCAGCTGCTCGGGGCTCTGCCGGGGGGTGAGTGGGGGAGGCTGGGGGGGCGGGGCGCTGAGGATCCTGGCTCTTTGGCAGGAAGCATACTCGGTGGCGCGGCAGTTCAACCTGATCCCGCCGATCTGCGAGCAGGCCGAGTACCACATGTTCCAGCGGGAGAAGGTGGAGGTGCAGCTCCCCGAGCTCTTCCACAAGATAGGTACTGCGGCAGGGGTCCCGCCCTGGCCCCCCCAAAGCACAGCACTCCCCAAAGCCCGGCGCTGCCGCAGCCAGGAGGGGCACAGTGAGTGTCCCTGGGGCTGGCCAGCCCCTGTGCTGCGGTCCCGGGGACAGCAACATCAGCCCCCCGCTCTGCTCTGCCCCCCCAGGCGTCGGAGCCATGACCTGGTCCCCGCTGGCCTGCGGCATTGTCTCGGGGAAGTACGATGGGGGGATCCCCCCCTACTCCCGCGCTTCGCTGAAGGTGAGGCCAGAAGGAGCTGGGGGGGTCGCAACGGGACAGGCAGAGCCAGGGGAGCGGGGCCGGGGGGGTCGCACAGGCCCCAGGGGAAGCAGGAGCTCCAGGAGCCACGACCCGGGGGCGGGGGGGGCGGTTTGGGGATGCCCTGCCTGCACAAGGTCCTGCTACACCACCATCCCACTGTGACACCCCCTCTGCCCACCCCCCACCCCCCCCCCAGGGATACCAGTGGCTGAAGGACAAGATCCTGAGCGAGGAGGGCCGGCGGCAGCAGGCGAAGCTGAAGGAGCTGCAGGCCATCGCCGAGCGCCTGGGCTGCACCCTGCCGCAGCTCGCCATCGGTAAGGGGCTGGAGGGGGAGGCCGGGGGGGGCCGGGGGGGGCCGGCAGGCCGTGCTCAGGCTGTGCTCTCCCTCCCGCCCCAGCCTGGTGCCTGCGCAACGAGGGCGTCAGCTCCGTCTTGCTGGGTGCCTCCAACGCCGACCAGCTGATGGAGAACATCGGGGCGATCCAGGTCAGTGCTGGGTGCGCCTGGGGGGATGGGGCGGGGGGGGGGGCCCTCGCCACGGGGGGAGCACCCGCCTGCACCCACGGAGCTGCCGCTCCCCACGCTCCCGCGCCGCACCAGGGAAAGAGGGCGCGAAGTCAGTGCAGAAGTTACAGGGTTGGCTTGGAGCGCAGCTGAGCGGCGGAGACACGAGGCTTGGCCGGGGCTGAGCCCCACCTCGGCTTCCTGCAACTGGGGCGCGTCCCACGGGGGTGCACCGGGCCCTGCCTCCCACCGGCCTCCCCCCGCAGGTCCTGCCGAAGCTGTCCTCTTCCATCGTCCACGAGATCGACAGCATCCTGGGCAACAAACCCTACAGCAAGAAGGACTACCGATCCTAAGCGCGCGCGCCCGCCGCGCCGCCCGTTCCGCTTGCTTGCGCTTCGTTGGAGCAAAGTGGGGAGCTGCGGTTCGCGCCGCGAGCGCCCAGAGCCAGCGCTCCCACCCGCGCCTCCACCCCACCCGAGGCAGCCCAGCCAGCGCGTGGGGGAGTGAGCCCCCAAAGCCGGGCGGCCCGCAGTGCGGGGGGGGGGGGGACCCCAGTGCATGCGTGGGTGCCGTGGCCGGAGGCGGGGGGTGGGGGGTGGGGGCAGCCGCAGGGGTGCGAGCGGGTGCTGTACGCCCACGAGGCCGACAACACGAAGCTGTTCCCCAGCCCCTCGGCTCTGCCCTGCCCGCGTCGCACCCGCCCCCCTGCCCGTACAGGGGGTGGCCCTGCGGGTGGGGGGTCCCCGCCGAGGGGACTGGGCTCTGCGGGGGTCCCAGGGGCAGTGTGTGAGCACAGCCCCCCCCCCCCGGGCCGTACCTGCAGCTCCACCCGGCAGGACCCCCAGCTGTGCTGCCCCACAGACCCAGCCAGAGCTGCACCCCCCGCGGCTGCGAGGGGGGTGCCCACACACCCCCACAGCTCCAGCTGCTGGCAGAGCTGCTGCAGGCCCGTCTCCACCTCAACCCCCACAGCTACACCCGTCCTTATCCAGACATCAACAGCTAATTATAGAGATATACGTATGCAGATACATATGCGCACACCTATGAAAATTCCATATATAATACGTATACAGACACACAAATGTAGATGTCTCTTTGTGTATATAGACATATGTATCTATGTGGCATATGTATATCACTTATGGAGATATAGAGACGTGTACATATCGATGTAAATATATTGATATGGCTACATATATATTTGTATGTATATATATGCACACATACATGAAAATTACAAAGATATATACATAAATGTGTGTATATACAGATATATGTGCAGATATACCTCCATCGATACCCAGGTCTATATACTCGTATCTATACCTATATATAAACATATGCCTGCATATATACACAGACATATACATATTTGTAATTTAGCTATAGATATATCTCTCTATATATGTGTTCTCTCTGTGCAGGAACACACGCACCTTTGCCAATATCTATATATATATCTATATCCACATATATACATACACATGTACATCCCTATATACATTTACACATCAATATAAAAATTATAAAGTTATGTTCAAAACTGTAGCTCCACACATAGACATGTATATATGTATGTGTGCGTGTATGTATATAAATGGGGGGTGTATACACACACACACACCCCCTTGAGATATGTCCATTTTTCTCTATCTATACCAACATACCTCTATCTATATAGGTGTATCTATTTATATCTATAGAACCACACAGATGTTTGTATGCAGATATAAACATATATATACTCATACATATGTATAAAGTTACAAATACATATATATGTGTATACACACCTATGTATACTATATATGTGTAGCTATATCTATACACCTTTATCTGTATCTATTTATATCTACAGTTATGTATAAATATATAAAAGTTACCAATACATATGTATGTGTGTCTGTGTATATATACACACATACAGATCTATATACCTATATATCCATACAGAGATACAGATACATAGATATATCTACATATGCATGTGTGTATATATACATAATTAAATTACAAATCTATATGCGTCTATGTATATACACACACAAATACATGTGTATATACACCTATGTAAATACAGATCTAAACATCCATACCTACACATATATACCTATGCCTGTTATACACACCCTTAAATACTTACATATGTACATAAGTATATAAGTATATATACACAAGCACACATGTACTGAAATTACAAATCCATTATAAACACACATGTATAAAAATATACAGATGTGTGTGTATATATACACACCCCTGCACAGATCCAGCTGTGCCCAAATACCTACACCTTTAGCTGTACCTATATAGTGATACCTATTTATGTGTGCTTACATAGATATATATGCACACACATATATCTAAAACAATTCTATGTACACCTACACATGTGTGTGCACACATATAGATACACATCCTCATACAGCTGTAGGGGTATATACATGCATGTATGTAGATGATGCAGATATAGGTACATATATGTCCATATATATGCACCCATGTAAAAATCTCAGCATAGATCTACACACACACATGTATGTCTGTCCGTGTGTCTGTGTGTGCAGCAAGAGCTGGGGTGGGGGGGAGCTGCCATGTCTGTGTGTGCGTTTACACACGCATGTATGTGTGTATACGCGTGTGTGTGTATGTGTGTGCACACGTGTGTGTGTGGGCCGTGAGCGCAGGCGGTGCCGCCGCCCCCCCCCCGCGCCCCCCCAGCCGCTCGCCCCGCCAGGCCGTGCCGGCTCCTTCCGAAAGGATTTATTAAAACACAGAGAACAGAACCCGGGACACACGCAGCACGAAGTGAATGCGGGGGCGTCGCTCACAGCTGCCGGCGGCCGCGGCGCGGTCAGTGTCCCCGCGCTCACCGGTGTCCCCGTCCCAGCCCTGGCCGGCCCCCCCTCCACCCTGTGCCCCACACCCGGAGCGCCGGGACCCCCCCCCAGCCCAGTGCCGGGCTCCCCACGGCAGCGCTGGCGCGGGGCTGGGCAGGGAGGCGGCAGCGGGGCTGGCAGCAGGCATGCACTTGCTCAAACACCACGAGGACGCAGAAACGGACCGTACAGGGAAGCACAGGAGCGGGAGCCGGCTCAGCCCCGGCCGGGCACCCACCAGCCTCCCGCCCCGCGCCAATAAAACCAGACATAAACACCGTGACTCTACCTCCCTTCTCCGCTCAGCCCACCTTGCCCAGACAAACTCTTCAAGTCTTCAAGAAGAAAGTGCAAAAAAATGTACACGGAAATGAACCCCCACCCAGTCCCGGGCGCTCCAGCGACGGCGGGGGCTCGCATCGGTTGAAGCACACTTGAAGTGGGAGAGCCCGGCAGCAGCTCGTCGCTGCGCTTCCCCCGCTTCCTCCAGCGACGCGGCGGCTTTCGGCTGGGGGGGGCCGCTGCAAGGAGAGGGGGGAGCTGCCCGTCAGCCAGGCTACCGGCCCTCCCCCGTGCCAAATGCAGGGCAGGGGGAGTGCGCTGACCCCCGCCCCGGGCAGGGGCAGCCAACCCAGGGGCTTGGGGCAGGATCCTGCTCCCACTGCGGGTGCCAGAGCTGCGGGCCACATCCAGACACCAGTGCTGGGGGAGGCAGCGCAGAGCGGAGCCCTGGTACAGCTCCCCCCCAGCGCATTCCCACAAGGCCCTGGTGAACGCAACGGGGCGAGCGGCGTGAGCCCTTACCTCAGCTGGAACCGGGAGCCACGGGGGCAAATCATGGGGACGGCTAAATATCTGTGAGGAGAGAGGGGAAACGCTGGGCTTGCCCGCCAGGCTCTGCCGATGCTCCCGGCCTACCCAAATCCTCCGCCGTGAATTTCTCTGCCTGGGAGCATCCGCTCGAAATCCCGACCTACCGGTCACGTACGGTCCCAGAGGCATCTGACTGTAGTTGACAATCCCGCCCGGCCCGGGACCTCGGAAATTTGGCCCGAAGTTGTTGTTGTAGATCTGGGAGGAACCGAAGGAGCCCTGGGCAGGTAAGGAGGGAGAAGAGCCGCTGACCTGCAGCCCCGGCCCCGCCAGCCCCGGCCCGGGGCTCCGTCCCCGTCCCCGCTGACCTGCTGCACAGCGGGGTCCCCGCCGCGGGTGGCCAGGCGGCTGAGGATGCTCCGCTCCGACATCTGCAGCCGGGCGGCCACGGGCGGGATGCGGGACAGCATGGAGGGCAGGCGCGTCACGTCGGCCTTCATGTCGCTCAGCAGCTCCTCGAGCTGGTTCAGCACTGCGAGCAGAGCGAGGCGGCGCTCAGGCCGGGGTGGGGGGAACCCAGTGGACCCCCCGGAAGAGGCGGCACCTCCCAGCCCCAGGGATGGGTGAGCTCCAGCAGCCGGGAGCCGATGGCAAAGGGCACCGCAGACCCACCGCCGGCTGCACCAGCAGCGTGCCGCTTCCCAGTGCCCTCGCCAGCAAAGTGAGCTGGGGAGGAGCAGGCAGCTCCTGGCCAAGGGAATGCGAGATGGGGACACTGGGCATCCATCCCTTCCTGGCCCCCCGCTGCCGGCACGCACCCTTGTGCAGGACGGCGTTCGCAGGCTTGTTCCCAGCCAGGGACTCTTTGGAGAGGTGCTGGTGGCTCTCGGCAAGGCACTCCACTTCAGCCAGACGGGCGTTCAAGGCCATGGCCGGGTGACTGGGGTCTTGGGTCATGTTGAGGTACGCAGCCCTCCGCAGCTGCTCCTCGATCACCAGGGCCTGCTCCAGCAACTGGGGGGTACAGGAAGGGAAGGATTCAGGACCAGACCCTGCTCCAGTGTAAACCAGTACCGCTCCGAAGGCCCCAGTGCCCACGCGGATCATGACAGCAGGGCCTCAGTCTCAGCCCTGCCACACACCCCACTGGCCTCGCTCCCAAAAACTCCTGAGGAACAGGCTGAGCCCTTATGTTTTCTTATCCCATTCAGGCTCTGAGCATCCACCAGCCCTGACCTGTGCACCTCACGGCACAGCCCGTGAGCACCCTGGGACCAAGCCCCGGCTGCCAGGCACCTGCTCTCCTCCAGTGACCACGAGCCCCTCGCAAAGCCCACCGCTGCTCCCTGCTCCGCTCCCAGAAGGCACTGGCGGGCTCCCCGCCAGTTTCGGGGCACCGCTCTGGTCCCCCCCACCAGTAAGGACTCACCAGCCCTAGACCTGCAACTCGCCTTGAACCGCCGGGCAAGGAACTTGTTCTTCATCTCGAGGTAGTTCCCCTTATGTATCTCCGACTTGAAGGGCTCGTTCAGGATCACGTAGCGCGGGTCGTTCTGGATGTCCTGCCAGCGGGCATAGCCGTGACTGGTGCGGAGGGGGCGTCAAGGGAAGAACCAGCCAGCTGACAGCATGCCCACCGCCTCACCAGCCCCCCCTCCCTGCTTGTCACCGTGCCGTCACCCCAGCTCCCGCGCCCTGCAGAGGCCATCCTTGCCTCCCTGCCTCCCGATGGCGGGGGACGCGCTCCCACCCGGCCAAAGGGTACGTGACAATTCCTGCCAACAGCCAGTAGTCGTGTCGGCGGTGCCAGATGTCATAGATCTTGCCGGAGGAGATGGCAGCCCTCTCCTCGTTCTGCCACAGCGTGTGCAGCTCTGCGGAAGCGGAAGCGAGGAGCCTGGTCAGGCAGCGGGACCTCGTGCAGTGCATGAGGCAGGGCCAGCAGTGAAACCTCCCGGGTGGCCACAGGCACGGCACAAAACCGAGACAGCCCACGTGAGGCGAGGCCTCGCCCCGCCTGCAGCCTCTTCCCGCACAGAAGCAGCCAACGCCCCGTCTCCTGCTCTCACCTGTAAAGCCACCGTCAGCAATGTTGAACATGAATCGGAAGTTCATGTTTCTGTCGTCCTTCTTCCCGTCCTCCTCTTCCTCTTTGTCACCATTTTGCTGAGCCTCGCTTTGCTCCTTCTCTTCCACCTTGGCGTCCTCTGCTTGGCAAACACAAGAAACGGCGCCTGTTTAATGATGCTCTGACCGGTGCCCTCCTTGCCGCTGCCAGAGGAACTCCCCCTGAAGCCACTGTCGGAGGAGCCACCGGCCCGCGTGCTGCTCCACAGCAGCCGACCACCCGCCTCTTCCAGCGGGTCCGACCGTTCACACGGCCGGTGCAGGCCGTGCCCACCACAACGGCAGCTTCTTCTCGCTCGCGGCTCCCCGGCATCGCCGGAAGGCAAGCCCCAGCCGCTGCAGGTGCCGACGGCCGTCCCCCCCCCCACACACGCTCC